AGTTCTCAAAAGATGCAGTATTTCTAGCTTACTCAATCATAGTATTTTTTTTTTTTTTTTGACAGGCAGAGTGGACAGTGAGAGAGAGAGACAGAGAGAAAGGTCTTCCTTTGCCGTTGGTTCACCCTCCAATGGCCACCGCGGCTGGCGCGCTGCGGCCGGCGCACCGCGCTGATCCGATGGCAGGAGCCAGGAGCCAGGTGCTTTTCCTGGTCTCCCATGGGGTGCAGGGCCCAAGCACCTGGGCCATCCTCCACTGCACTCCCTGGCCACAGCAGAGGGCTGGCCTGGAAGAGGGGCAACCAGGACAGAATCCGGCGCCCTGACCGGGACTAGAACCCGGTGTGCCGGCGCCGCTAGGCGGAGGATTAGCCTAGTGAGCCGCGGCGCCGACAATCATAGTATTTTAAAAGAGAATATATCTACCTTTAGTAATTAAGACCTTAATCCTGGCCGGCGCCGTGGCTCACTTGGGTAATCCTCCACCTGTGGTGCCGGCAATCCCGGTTGGGCCGCCGGATTCTGTCTCAGTTGCTCCTCTTCCAGGCCAGCTCTCTGCTGTGGCCTGGGAGGGCAGTGGAGGATGGCCCAAGTGCTTGGGCCCTGCACCCACATGGGAGACCAGGAGGAGCACCTGGCTCCTGGCTTCAGAAAAAGGAAGACCTTTCTTTCTGTCTCTCTCTCTCACTGTCTAACTCTCTGATCCCAAAGATGTCTCTTGGAATTTTTGTTCAGGAGAGACTGCCCTGAAACCTGGTCAGAATTCAGTCTCTGAGCCAAAAGTCTGTGTTCCACTTGTTCCCCAACAACCATGGAAAGGCAATCAAGCTGTCTCCCTAGAATTCACTACAATAAACTTCCAAGCCCACCAATCTACCACCAACAACCACTTATTGAACACATTTTTGAACCTTAGTGAAAAGGTCTCCTTCTTGCTTTTGATTCAAATGCAATTCATGTAAGTGAATGTACATAGTATGACAAATTGAGTTGTACCCTAGTTGATTTTTTTTTTTACAGGCAGAGTTAGACAGTGAGAGAGAGACAGACAGAGAGAAAGGTCTTCCTTCCATTGGTTCACCCCCCAAATGGCCGCTAAGGCCGGCACTGCGCCAATCCGAAGCCAGGAGCCACGTGCTTCCTCCTGGTCTCCCATGCAGGTGCAGGGCCCAAGCACTGGTGCCATCCTCCACTGCCTTTCCGGGCCACAGCAGAGAGCTGGACAGGAAGAGGAGCGACCAGAAGAGAATCTGGCTCCCCAACCGGGACTAGAACCTGGGGTGCTGGCACTGCAGGCAGAGGATTAGCCTAGTGAGCCGTGGCGCCAGCCACCCTAGTTGATTTAATATCAAGATTTCTTTCCAGATATTAAAAGGTTAAATGTTTTTCCTTACATTGTCAGTTACTCTTTCTTTATATACATTTTATTCTGTTTTTAATTTTGTAACAAATACTGAAGTATTATACTCTAAGAATGCGCAGTACAATTTCACCTTCTGTATCACATATCTGAATCTTACTAACTACTTATCAGTGTGCTGTGAATTCTCCTATATCACTTCCTGGGAAACATGTAAAAAATATATATGCATATATTCTATACATGTATATATGTATATGTATATAATGTTTTTATATACACTTTTGTATAAATGACTTAACTTTATAGTTAATATCAATAACATACTTCATCTATTTCATCATGTCTACTGGTATCTTTCCTTGTTGGTATACATTAATGGTCTCCAACTTAGGATGGTTTGATTGATTTTTTTTTTCTTTATGTGGTGGGGCTTGGTGAACAAAAGCCATGTCCATTGAGAAACCATACTTAGAATTTGGAATTTCTTATCTTCCCAGTTTAGCAATATGCAAGTGATACTCATAAAGCTGGGCAGGAGCTGCAGCTCCCTGTTAGCTCCACCATCATGAACGGATACAACTCAGACCACTGTGTACCATGTTGAACTACATCACTCCGTAGGTAAGGCGTATTAAATACATTTTCAACTAACAATATTTTGGGGGCCGGCACTGTGGCATAGTGGGTTAAGCCTCCTCCTGTGGCACTAGCATCCTGTATGGGTGCCAGTTTGTGTTACAGCTGCTTCTCTTCTGATCCAGCTCTCTGCTGTAGCCTGGGAAATCAGTAGAAGATGGCCCAACTAATTGGGCCCCTGCACCTGTGTGGGAGACCCAGAAGAAGCTCCTAGCCCCGCCTTCAGATCAGCTCAGCTCTGGCCATTGTAGCCATTTGGGGAGTGAACCAGCCTATGGAAGACTTTTCTCTCTGTCTCTCTCTCTCTCTGTAACTCTACCTCTCAAATAAATAAATAAAAGATTAAAAAAAAAAACAGACAATATTTTCAACTTATAATGGTTTATTGAGATGGTACCAAATTATAACTTAGAATATCTACATATGATTGGTCTATATATGATTTACGTGGATATTCTATAGTACAAATGCATTGGAGTACAACTGGTCCATTATCAATGGATACATAGGGTTAATTTCAGGTTTTCTATGCCAAATACTTACACTTCCATTTTTTTTTTCAGCAAATGTTAGTTACTTTTCTAGAAAAGACATATAGAAATAGGATTACCTGATAAAATATTTTGCACATTAAATTTTGTAAGATCTTGAATATTTTCCTTCCAAAATCCTAAGCCAAATTGTACACACCTATTAAGAGCATGAAACGAGACATGGAAGAAGCTCCAAGCTACTGGCTTTGGATCAGCCCAGCTCCAGTCATTGCTTCCATTTGGGGAGTGAATCAGCAGATGGAAAGCCTCTCTCTCTCTCTCTCTCTGCTTCTCTGAAAATCTGCCTTTCAAATAAAGAAATAAATCTTAAAAAAAAAAAAAAAAAGAAGAGAGCATGAAACAGAGCTTGTTTTAGAACATTCTTGCCTAGTATGATTATCAAGCTTTATAATTTTTGTTATCCTGATCAATAACAAAATATTGTCTTTTCATTCACATTTTTATGCTTCCTAATGAGTTTGAACATATTTTGAAACATTTTAAAGACATTTTTATTTGTCAATGGCTCACTGCTTTTGTGTTTCATATTTTGTGGTCTCCTTATAAATCTTTTGTCTATTGTGTGTGTGACATGATTTCTTCTGATTTGTCACTTGTCCTTATGGTGACTTCTGTGAGTTAGAAGTTTTTAATTTTTATGTGGGTAAATATAATAATTTTATAATGTATGGTTTCTTAATTCAGAGCTTTTATTATGAAACCCTTTAAACCCTTAATTACAAATTATATTCTCTTTATTTTCTCAAAATTTTAATTTTCTGTTATTTTCGTATAGTTGATGTGATCAATTTCAAGAATTTTCAGAGGGCATGAAGCAGGATAAAACTTAATTATATTTCCAAATTGTCTGCTATTTGTCTCATGACTATTGATTAAATAATCCATTCCCTTCCCATTGATTTACCCCACAAGGTAACATATGACATTGTTTTTGTCACATATTAAAATTTCCTATCTAACTGGATCTGATCTTGCACTCTCTTTCTCTATGCAGTCAATCTACCTACTCTGAAATTATTACTTATGTAAGTTCAGCTGTTACAGTTTTACAGTGGGTATTTTTCTAATTGAGCAAATGTCAACTTTTTATCTTTTTTTTTTCAAAACATTCTTGACTACTATTAAATTTTTGCTTCAGTTGAACTTTGAAGTAAATCTATCAAGTTTCAAAAATGGTTCTTTCGAGATTTTATATGGGATTTCTCTAAATTTATAGATGAATTTGGGGAGATGTGACAATTTTACAGCATTAAATATTCACCTCCAAGAACATGTTCTGCCTCTGTAATTATTAAGTTGGTTTATGTATCTTTCAAAGGGTATTACCTTGTTTTTCATTATAGTCTTTCAAATATCTTTTTAGGTTTAATTCTCACTGTTTTTAATTTCTGCTATCATTGTGATTGGCATATTGCTCCATAATGCATTTTAATTGGCTATTGCCCTATAGTAGAAAAGTTACTGTGTACTGAATTTTGTATATAGGAACCTTACAGGTTTCAATAGTTTTTTTTTTTTCAATTAATCTTGGAATTTCTATGCAAATGATCATATTGTGCCTTATCTAACCATTGCACATATTTATAGTTAAATCTTTATGATGTTCTGCATATTAATACTGAGAATTGAGAGTATCATATATTTCCTAGCTGCATGTTGGCCATTCAGAAACAATTTTAAGTGTCAAGGTAATTCACCTGCAACTCTGTCATGACCTAGGATTTTCCTTGTTGGAAAATTTTTATCTATTGCCTCAACTTATTTAATGATTTTTGGACAATTTGGATATTTTTATCAAGTCAGTACTAGTTAGTTATATTATTTGTGGAATTTCTATGTCATTATTGGCCCCACATTTGCTTGTAATATTAACAAACTGTGTACTAAGGTCTGGATATTGTCTGAGTGTGTCCTCCAAGATTCCTGTGTTAGCTCTTTAGTCCTCAGTGTGGTGATGAGATGGTAGGGCCTTTAAAAGATAGGGCCTAATGTGAGATCATCAGAGACCATGCCCTTGGAAGTGCTTAGGGTAGTTCTCATGGGACCCCCTTAGTTCTATCAAGAGGGTTGTTACTTTTTATTATATAATATTGATCATGACTATGATGAGTAGTTTTTGAGTTTAGTTATTTCAACTATTATCATGAATAATTTGAAATTGTGCATGTTTTAATAATTTATTTTCTTTTATTTCAACTTTGATGCATAAATTTCAGAAAATATAGTCCATAAAAAGATGAACTTAAACTATTGTGATGTGTTTTTAGTTTGATTTGTAGTCATTTTTTTATAAATGTTTTACTTTGTGTTTAAGTTGAAGGTTTATTATCTCACTTGGGAAGGTTGTGCTTGAACATTGTCTGTTAGATCAAGCCTGTCATTTGTACAATTTAAATTTCTATTTTGACTGGTTCTTTTATTGCCTGTTCAATCCTCAATGAGAAAGTATGTTTAACAAAGTTAAGAGAGGTAGATTGAAGTCTCCAAATAATGAACAGCGGGGCGCCCAGCGGGAGGAGCAGCGGCAGCTGCGGCGCGCCGCAGCGCAGGACCAAGTGCGGGGCTTCCTGGAGAAGGAGGCGGCCATCGTGAGCCGGCCCCTCAACCCCTTCACGTCCAAGGCCGCCGCGGGGCCCGGCGCAGAGAATGCACAAGCGGGGCCCAGCGAGGGGCCCCCGGGCCAGGACAAGGAGAAGGCGCTGCCCAGCTTCTGGGTCCCGTCCCTGACCCCCGAGGCCAAGGCCACCAAGCTGGAGAAGCCGTCCCGCACCGTGACCTGCCCCATGTCGGGGAAGCCGCTGCGCATGTCTGACCTGACACCCGTGCGCTTTACGCTGCTGGACGACTCGGTGGACCGCGTGGGGCTCATCACGCGCAGCGAGCGCTACGTGTGCGCCGTGACCCGCGACAGCCTGAGCAACGCGACGCCGTGCGCCGTGCTGCGGCCCTCGGGGGCCGTGGTCACGCTGGAGTGCGTGGAGAAGCTGATTCGGAAGGACATGGTGGACCCCGTGAACGGAGACCGGCTGACCGAGCGCGACATCATCGTGCTGCAGCGGGGCGGCACCGGCTTCGCGGGCTCCGGGGTGAAGCTGCAGGCGGAGAAGTCGCGGCCGGTGATGCAGGCCTGAGTGCGAGGGGAGACCCACGAATAAACGGCCCGGAGCGCAAAAAAAAAAAAAAAAAAAGTTGGATCCATTTTTGATTAGTATGTTTTATTATGGTAAAACATTTATGTAATACACAATTTGCCATTCAACCATTTTATGTATAATATTCAATTATAGAATGTATCAGAACTCTATCACTTTTGAAGACTGAATAATTTTCCATTGTGTATATGAACCACATGTTACCTTTTCACCTGTTGATGAGCAATTGTTTTTTTTTTCTACCTTTAGCTATTATGAATAATGCTATACCAAATACTGGCATACAAATATATGTGCCCCCGAGGGGTCTCTGCAAGTGAGATCCCAGTGGAAAGAAAGGGACATCAGAGAAGGATGTACTTTTCTCTGAAGGGAGGAGAGAACTTCCACTTTGAATATGGCCTTGTCTAAATGATGACAGAGTTTGTGGACTCAAAAGACTTCCATAGCCTGCATCCACAGACACAAAAGTATACAGTACTGTTTGAGTAGTAGTTTTACTATTAATACTCATAATACAACACATTAAGGGCAGAGGTCCCACAAGGAGAGCAGGTTTACAGTGACTCCCGTTGTTGATTTAAAAATTGACACTCTTATATGACTTCAGTGATCACCTGAGGCTCTTGTCATGAGCTGCCAAGGCTATGGAAACCTCTTGAGTTCACCAACTCTGATCTTGTTTAGACAGGGCCATAGTCAAAGTGAAAGTTTTCTCCTCCCTTCAGAGAAAGGTACTGCCTTCTTTGATGGCCCATTCTTTCTGCTGGGATCTCACTCAGAGATCTTTCATTTAGGAAATCCAAATGGCCAACAAACACATGAAAAAATGTTCAGGATCACTGGCCATCAGGGAAATGCAAATCAAGACCACAATGAGGTTTCACCTCACCCCAGTTAGAATAGCTTACATACAGAAATCAACTAACAACAGATGCTGGCAAGGATGTGGGGAAAAACTGACACTAATCCACTGTTGGTGGGAATGCAAACTGGTAAAGCCACTATGGAAGTCAGTTTGGAGATTCCTCAGAAACCTGAATACAGCCCTACCATACAACCCAGCCATCCCACTCCTTGGAATTTACCCAAAGGAAATTAAATTGTCAAATAAAAGAGCTGTCTGCAACTCAATGTTTATTGCAGCTCAATTCACAATAGCTGGGACATGGAATCAACCTAAATGCCCATCAACAGAAGACTGGATAAAGAAATTGTGGGATATGTACTCTATAGAATACTATACAGCAGTATAAAAGATGAGGTCCGGTCATTTGAAACAAAATGGAGGAATCTGGAAAACATCATGCTGAGTGAAATAAGCCAGTCCCAAAGGGACAAATATCATATATTCTCCCTGATCGGTGACAACTAACTGAGCACTTAAAAGGAAGCCTGTTGAAGTGAAATGGACTCTATGAGAAATAAGTTTATATTCTAAAGACAATAATTTCCAAAATAAATATTCTGGGGTTTAAACATATTTTCAGGGAAAAACCTTGTGGCAGAGCAGGCTAAATGGTCACTTGAGATCCAAGTATGCCATATTAAAGTACTGGTTTGAGTACCAGCTACTCCACTTCCCATCCAGCTTCCTGATAAGGCACTTTAGAAGCAATGGATGATGACTCAAGTAGTTGAGTTCCTGCTATCCATGTGAGAGACACAGATGGAGTCCCTGACTCCTGGCCTCAGTCTGCTCAGTCTGGCCTGTCCTTGGCTGTTGTGGCCATTTGGGGAGTGAACCAGGGGATGGAAACACAATCAATATCTTTCTCTCTTTCTCTCTCTCTCTCTCTCTCCCTCTCTTTCTCTCTCTTTCCCTGTTTCTTTGCCTCTCAAATAGATAAATGAATATTTAAAAGTAAATAAATACGTTGGCAATTATTTCTGCCAACTCCTATTTACTATAGCTTATTTCCTTATTTCTTAAGGTAATCTTCGATAATGAGTTCATACTTCGATATTTTTATTATATGGAATACATAGACATGAACTCAGATGCCTAAGACAGAGAAAATTTGAATTTATTTCTGTTGGAAATTAAGAGAAATCGTGTCTTAAAATAATCTAACCCTTTAAATTTATGTGGACTAATGAAGAATTTCCATCATCAGAATTTGCTCTTTCAATTGTCGCATAATTGATTCAGCCTCCTATTAAGAGTATTTAGATTTAGGGCATCCTTGGAGTTCTATGATAACTTCTTATTCTTTAATGCTTTATATCCTTAGGCTAGTAGTAAAGAATGCCCCCGAAGATTTCCTTTACTTCTTACTTTGATACTGGAAATGAACTAAAAAGCATATTTCATCCAGACAGAAGCTGGTTTTACTTGTTTGTTTTTTAACCTGGAAATTCTTCAGAAAATTTGTTTTGTCATACTGCCACAGGGGAGATCCAAAATTAATTTTTCTAAATATCATACCAGCTCAAGGATAAAACAGATTGTTATTTCAGGAAAAACATGCCAATTAAAAAAATCTTTCATGGGATTATTAAATGTTAGGGTCAGTTCATCAAGGATGTTCCCTGGGAAAGCTGATTTTTGAAGTTCCTTTTTTTAAAAAAAAATATGTATTTATTTGAAAGAGAGAGAGAGAGAACGAGGTCTTCCATCCGGTTCGCTCCCCAGATGACCACAATGGCCAGGGCTGACCCAATCCGAAGCCAAGAGCCTGGAGCTTCTTCTAGGTCTCCCACTTGGGTGCAGAGGCCCAGGGACTTGGGTCATCTTCCACTGCTTTCCCAGGTCATTAGCAGGGATCAGAACTGAAGCAGCCAGAACTCGAACTGGTGCCCATATGGGATGCTGGCACTGCAGGCATAGGCTTTACCTGCTATGCCACAGTGCCAGCTCTTGCAGTTCCTTTTAATGAAAACCAGCCCCAGTCAAGTCTTCAAATGACTACATCCTGGCCAAACCTGGCTACAGTCTCTGAACAGACTCTAACCCTGACCCAGCCAGCTGCTCCCCAATTCATGACATTAAGAAACTGAGACATACTAAACATATGCTATTGATTTAAGGCACCAGGTTTGGAGATAATTTATTATTACACAACAATGATAACTTGTACATGATAATGGTAATTTAAACATTAAGATCAATCAATTTTCAAACAGAAAATGTGTGCATACAGTCTCTAAATTGAAATCAGTCGATTTCTTCATGGATAATATAAGCACACCATAAAGCAACACATTTGGGTGAATAAGTAGATAAGAAGCAAACCACAGTCATTCACTGAGCAATGCAATTCTCAGAAACAAATCTCATGCTGACTCACTAGAAAAACTTAGACTCCATATAAGAAAAGGCACTATAAAAACTGATAAACATATTTCCCCTCCTCTTTCCCTCAAGGGAACTATAAACAGCCAGCTGTCAGAGTTCCTGGATTTTTATGCGTACACATTTGCATTTTCTCCTGGAAAATAAAGCAGTGCACATTTGCAAATGATAATTTCAGATTCCCTATGATTTCAAGTAGCACTATTTGCTGAGCTAATAATAATGAATAATATCATTTAACAGAATACCATTCAGCGATTGTCCCACCTTATTATTAAGGCTTAAAAGAAATCACGATGAAAAATACAATCGTTTAAAATGAAGTTAAAAGTGTCTTCAACATGGCAAGTATAATGATCACTCTGAGTGCTTAGAATATGTGACACATTTTTTAAATGCAGCTCTTTTTCCTTAATGTACTTTTCATTACAGGCTTGTAAAAAGGTGGTCAACATATACCAGTAAAGAGCCTCTAATATTTTAAATAACAGTAATTGTTACTAGTATAAATAAAAAAAACTCTATATAATATTTCTATGGACAAAATGAGGATCGGCAGCCCATCAGTAAGCATAATTCATGAAAATTTCACCTTACTTGGTAAAAAGGCTTTGTTCAGGAAAAAAAAATGACAGCCAGTTAGTTAAAGGAAAAATTTACTGGATCTGGGTGACAGAAAATACAAGAGCCCATTTTGCTTTATGCATCTTCTTGTTCTAAATCAGCATTAACAACTACAGTCAGCTTGCAGCTCTGCATGTGTCACTCATCCATATTTTTTGTTTGTTACATTGATTGTTTATGTCTTAAATTATAGCTGTCCTTTCTTCTTTGTACTGTGGCTTAAAGAACAGCTTCAAGGGCAAGTGTGAAAATAAATGTAGGGATGAGTTACTTGGCAATGCGTGGACAACTCCATAAGAAATAAGTCTGTGTTTGCTGTCCAGACACACGCTTTAGGATCTATCATTCTCTTGGAGAAAACTGTCCTCATCAATTCGTTTTCTATCTATAGGTAAGGCACTGGCACAATGTTAGAGGAGGAAAGGAAAAATGATAAGTTCATCAAGGTTTTCCTTTACTTAAAAATAGAAAGTCAAAGCAGGGTCTCTTAGCATGAAAGAGTTATTGTTATTTAAAGCTGTCTCCTAGAGTTGAAAGTTGCTTCAAAGACCATTCAGTGAAATCGATTATCAGGTGACTGAACACTTTCTTGTAGCATCTGAGCCCAGTACCTCACTAGTCTATATCTGAACCCTTGCAGTGTCACTCATCTCAACAAACACAGGTAGACCCCTCACTTTTTAACTACAAATGGAAGTAAATTTCTTCACATTTATTGAGAAATAATAGCTAACTTGGTTTTGGTTACCTCTCCCTTAAAACAAAGCTGTAAACATGAGTGACTTTTTATTAGCCTCCTGATTTTGAGATTATGACTTAAGGAGGCAAATAAATGATCAATTCACCATTTTTCTGAAGACTAAAATATGACTTGGTGGCATGATTTTATTCATTCTCTTACCTAAAAGTGAATTTTAAAAGGGCTATGAAAGAAGTGAATAATCCAGGGATAAAATTTGTTGCTATTTTACAGGATGACTTTAGATCAGAACTCCATAGAAACATGAATAATTGCATATTAGTCAAGAACAAGGTGCAATGGTAAAGTAGGATGCCTGAAGACAGATTCCGACACAACAGTCTTGACAATACCAACTTCTTAGTAATTTCTGTGCTTTGTACTT